TATAAGAACCCATTATAAACCATTTATAGGGATAAAAGGTTTACTCCACACAGATATTCATAGTAATGATAAAATAAAAGTTCGGATATTATTTTAAATATTTCGAAGAAAAGATTTTTTTTTTACCTAATGAACTATCCGAAAAAAGTCCGAAAAAGACTATTCGTTAAGATTATTCAGTATAACTTTAAGTAGTCATATGCAATGCCTGAAAAGTCCTTTAATGTATGTAATAAGATTTTTTTTTTTTAGTTAGAAAAGATTGTTGACCATTTTCGCTTAGACTGATGGCGAATTATTAATAAAGGGCTAATGAAAAGATATTAATTATTTATTAAGAATTCTTTTATGGTCCGTTTAAAGACATATCATTTATCTCACTTAACAAAACGAATTTAATTACGTAACACCTTTACTCATGGGATTTTTGTTATCATAAAGTTTAACTTAAAAAATTCCTAAAAAATACCAAAAATATTTAATATTTTACTTATGTACTTGGGTATAATTCAAAGTTAAAAATTCATCAAATTTAGTTATATGAATGTTTGTTACACTTTTGTAACTTTAATTTCACGAATAAATTTTCTTTGGATAGAACTTTAAGAAGGTAAAGACTATTTTACAGTTGATAACCAAATTAATGATATCTCCGATGAATTTTATCTTGGAATTTGTATGAAACTTTTAATGATACATGTAGCATGATAATTACTACATGTCAATAATTTGGATTTGTTTTTTTTTTAATACAGTAATACGGTGCAGTGCGGTTTTGTACATATCAAAAAAAAAACAACATAATTTTGATGACATAGTTAATTATTAAACTTGCATTAGTTTTTATTTTTTTGATAAGCACACCTGTACATAAGCTATGAACGAACCAATTTTTTTTCTCTCTTATTTTTTGCATTAAATTAATAAGATTGGTTTTTTATTTTTTTTTCGACACTAACGCTAACGTTAACAGTAAATGAGGAGAATTAACCGGAGAAACCGAATATGGTATTTGTAACGTCGATCAAGTAACACACGTGTGATAATATTTATTATGCATATCAATATCGATATAGATAAAATGTATGCTAATAATGGGACTTTTTTTTTTAACTAGCACTAGTCGACAATGAACCCATAATTGCATTACATATCAAGATGGTTAAACTAAATTTGGTGAATATTGATCATTAAAAATTGTAACAGTAGATGATCTTTTGAAGCATTGTTAATTGGTAACTTTTACATAAGTTGTAGTTAGGTAAAGATCTAGTTCTTTTTATTTTTTAATTTATTCGTGAAAAAATGCGTACCAATTAATACAAGAGTTTAAAGATTGTGAGATTCTGGGGAATGAAATCCATATAACACCAGGATGACTTGCCAAAAACGGAGAACACCATTAACGGTATGATCAGAAAGAAGAGTACTTTATGTATAGATGTATAGTATGTATAGTACGTATAGCATAGCATGAGTAGCATGAAAAAACATGAGCAGCATGAAAAACATGAACAGCATGAATAACATAAAGTTAATCTAACAAATAAATACACAAGAGTTAATTACTAGTGTTTTCGTAGGAGAACAAGGAATACATTATACTTTTATTGTTGCAATTAATAAAAGTCAAAGACGAAAGATAGATATGGATACTGCTTTAAAAAAAGATAAATAAACCGACAAACATAATTTCATTGATGCGAATATAACCAATAGTCATCAGTTTATTTGTTTTCGCGATACTTTTTATTCTCGAATACGTATTAAAATTAAAATTAAAATTAAAATTTGATCCAGTTGATCACGTGAATTTTCCTGTTTGCCAAAAAGGTTGAATGAATTTTTTTAACAATCTATTAACTTTAAATCTTTTAATACGATAGATGGTTATTAGGTAATCGGTTGCATGGTTACGATGGTTACTCGATTTGGAATATTTTCATAGAATTAAAACTAACATGAATGTTTACTCAACAAAATGAGATGTTTAAAGGTTGGTTCTAGGCAACTTATCACCTGTCACACCATTTCTGAAATCGTTAGGTTCTTTTCGTCTTGCAATAATTTATCCTGTTCTCCATAATTATCACATTGTAATAAATTGAATAAATTGAATAAATTAAATAAATTAAATAAATTAAATAAATTAAATAAATTAAATATGTTGGTTTTTTTTTTATATACTGTGATAGAATATTAAAGTTTTTGCATATAAAATAGAGTTACCGCGCAGGTGACGGTTAATAAAATTTTACGAGGTAAAACCTAAGAAGATTTACATAATTTATACTCACGTTCAAGTCGTGTTACTATTGCCTTAGTGATTCAATTTTTCCATATTTGTTATTGATTCCACTACTTAAACACAAAGAAATGATTTTGTTTATCATGTAACCAATTCTTTTCAAAGAACAGTCGGTCCGCGTGGTCAGCTTAGTACCATTATTAATGAATGCGTTCTCCAATTGGTTATTATAATTGTTTATTATTAAAACTGCGCATTAGCTTACTTCATATCCACATTTTTAAATTACTATCATTATGAAAGAATGATCTTATTTTTAAAAATATAGAGACGTTTCTTACGCGGTTTACATTACAGCATTACGTATCATGAATTGAGATAATCAAAATGAAGGATATGGTTTCGTCTGATACAATGGCTACAATGACTATAATGGCGTAGTATAAAATTTAAAAGTGGCGTATCAGTATGTATTGGTATATATCTGTATATATCTGTATATGTATATGTGTATTCGTATACGTACGTACACCTGTATATGTATATCTGTATATAATTCCTGTTATATAGTTATTTAATAATTTTTATTGAACTACCATATGTTTATCAATCTTACTAAATATGGTAATTATATTATTGCTGTTCTCCAATTTTAGACAATGGGCTCCCATTCCTTATTAGTCTAGATTAACCTCTATTACAAAATATATCTTAATTCGGAATACAAGTATAGATTACCTCCTTTTAAAGGTAATGTTAATACATAAAAAAAAAAGACCATGCGCAAAGTGTTCTTCCACTGATACGAAGAATGTGAAGTATAATGTTGATCCGTGCGACTATTATATTTGAAATTCGATTAATTTTATTGATTTTAGATTTGATTTCGAATAAAGTAATATTTTATTGATAGAAATAAAATTCTAAGGGAGGGAAAATTTTTTTTTTTTCAATATATACAATCTTGGACGATAATTGGTGGTAATGCACATTATCTACGATTATTAAGTCTTCTTTTTGATATGAGTCTAAACATTAATAAAAAAACAAGCTTGTTTTGTTTGAGTATCAATGAATCCAATTAAAGTAACTTTCTCATTACAACTATATATATTATGTAATAGTGTCATTAATTTGGAAATAATTTCTAAATTAATCCGTAACAAAAGCCATAGTCGACCCCCCGGAATTTGATAACCTTCGAATCAATTCATCTAAACTTAATCAAATTTAGAAATTTACTCCTGGTCATACTCGATCATGTTGATCGAATTGATCATAACCGTTGGACGAATGTAAGCGTCGTTATGTTGATTTTTTTTTCCAGATTTTAAAAAAATCAACAAAGCTTTAACGACGTAACCTTCTTGACAAGGTCTAAAATTTAAAGAACCACTAAGATTAATTTTGCACCCATCACTACGTAAACTTTTATCGCTGATTCGACATTTGTTATGTATAGCTCGGCATCATCTTTCAATAAAGTTTTTGCAATATAAAAAATATAATAATTATACTGTAATAATAATAATAATAATATTATTATTATTATTATTATTATTATTATTATTATTGCTTTTCTTTGTCCGCTAAACAAGGTTTTTTTAAAAAAATATAATGATTTAAGATAAAAAAAAAAAAAATACAAATATGACATTTCTGCTCCATCCTTCATTTTTTTTTTTCTACAGGAACAAACCATCTACTCAATTCATTTCCTGCTTACCAATCAATCTACACTCCGATTCCTTTCACGTGATACGAAACGATATTCACCGCACGTGGTTACTATTACTGAATGTCATTCAACTTATTTGTCACTCCTTTCACTCACTTTTAAATATTAGGCAAAATCCCTATTTGTTTTTATTTTATTTTTATTTTTTAGTGTATACAGTAATCTATTTATTAAATTAAGTGTCGTACGACAGCATTTGTTCTAAATTCCTTGCGAACATTGAGCCGTACCTGTGTTCACATCAGATCATATCAAAAAAAAGGAAGCGCATTATTGTACGTACTATCATTAAGAACATCAAAAAAAATTTTTTTTTCTTATAATAATAAATATGCAATTAGTTTTCATCGTTACATCTTGTCATACTTATTTTTTTTCTTTGATGTGTGAAAATTATATTAAAAGGCTGTCAGAGTCGCTTTTCTCAACACTTGCTTTTGGTCATCCCAGTTCAAATTTTTTCAAAGACTGGCTTACTACCAATAATTTGTCTTATTGATCAAGGTCTTTTATTCTTTGTTCAGATATTATCCAATCGAAAGGAAGAAAGGTAAATGAATAAAACTTTTGTATAATTATAGAAAGTGATACAGTTATAAATTATCAGCATATATAATTAAATATCTTTTCACTTTAAATTATATATATATATGTATATATATATATGCTATATTTTTTTTTACCGCCTTTTTTTTTTCTTCTCACTTTGATCCATCCTCGATCATACATTACATATCGCATTCTATTCACGCATAATGTTATTTATTTATTCACCATAATTCGTAGGCTGAAACGTTCGGAACTCCGTCAATCAATCATCACGTTTTTTTTTCTCTAATCGAAAAAAAAAGAAACATTCCTAACATTAATTGGTGGTGACCACAAAGTTTTCCAATTAAAATTAAAATTTTAAAAACAACAACTTTCTTTTATAAATATCAAAGTTTTTTTTTATTACGATTCCTATTACCACACATCCTTCAAACCTTTTTTATTCATATATCAAACATGAACATGAGCAACGAGACCACTAGGTTTTGTGATTGGCGTGTGGAAATTTATGACTGTCAAGGGTCAAATTTATTCGTCGTTCAAGTTATAATTTCATTTATAAGTTATGCCCTACTTTCAATCTCTGGTACACTTATCTTTTATTATAGATATAGATATATGTGGCAGGGTTTATTTGTTGACCATGGAAATGGCATAAGACCTTTACCTGTTGATTGTTTACTTTTCTTTTGGACGATTGCTGCATATATTCGTGGTACCCATTCTTTACTTATGTTACTTAATGCTTATACTCGTTATTGGCAAAGAGAAACTTTTCAAGAACTTGGGTTTACAGTTTTATGTTATGGTGCAGTTTGTTATATTATTGGTATGTATCATATACGTAAATCTTATTGTTATTATATAAAATTTCTTATTGTTATTTTATTGTATAAAATTTCTCATTGTTATTTTATTATATAAAATTTCTCATTGTTATTTTATTATATAAAATTTCACATTGTTATTTTATTTAATTATTAATCATTATCACTTTATTTCGATACTTTCATTATTTTAGGAATTATATACACAATTCCTGTAAATTATACTAGTGGAAAACCGACTCTTAAGGTTGATACTAAATGTGACTTATCAGATTCAACCGTACGTGATATATACCTTCCAAGACCTATAACACTTAATTATTACCTTGCTATATGGTTACTTTTACCTACCGTGACCGTTTTTCCATCGGCAGTTCTTTCAGGAATTTATAGAGATATTGGTGATGGAGAAATAGCAGATCGATGGACTTCAACACAATATATCATTTATTTTTTCATTGATATGTTATTTGCTACAGTTGGAGCATATTATGGAATTAATTTTATGTTAATTCTTCGAGGATCAATGAAACAATTTAATCGTAAATCAGTTAATTATCATCAATCAAAAAATGGAACAAGAGAAGCACTTGAACGTCTTAAATATACTATGATATATCTTGCAGTTCTTCCACTTGTTTCAGCACCTTGTTGGGGAATGTATGGTATTTATCGTCAAAAAATGATTTCATCCATGAATTTAGCAAATATTTTAATGTCTACTATTTGGCATGCTGCTGGACCTCAACCTTTAATAGCATTATGTCAATATTTATTGGCAAAACGTGTTTATCAACATTATACTGGTAAACTTACTTCATCACAAAATGAATCATTAGGTTCACATTCAAATTTAACTGCTTCTCAACAAAGACCAACATTAGCTCGATCACCTACTTCAAATACTTTTGGTGAATATATTACTAATGATAATAGTCCTGATTCATCTGAAGATTTTGCTATAGATTTAAAACCTATTAGAAATAATGATTTCAATGAGAATAATATGTTAGATGCAGACTTGGCCGTAAGTATTCCTGCACCAGCTTATGGATCAGAAAATGATATAGAACGACGAGCTTAGAATGATAAGCTTAGAATGATAAGCTTAGAATGACGAGCTTAAAATTTGGAAAAAATCAGGCAGCCTATGATAGATTAAATAAGTTAGGAATGTTTCCAAAAAAACAGGACAATTTGCATAAATCATTCAATCATTCACTTCGCATTCAATGCAATCATTATCATTTTTTTTTTTTTTGTAATATTTTTTTTTCGTGTTAAACCAAATTAAACCTTTATAAATCATGTACAATAGGAATATTTCGCGCACGCTTGTGGATATCTTTATTTTTATTTTTTTCTAAATATCATTTTTTTTTTTTATATATACATGTTATATCTACATACAACTATATCTATTTATCCCGTCAAGTTTTTTTTTTTCCCCAAAAATTCCATAGAAAGTTAGAGAAACAAAATAACCAAAATCTTGTGTATAGTTTTTCTTTTGTAGATTTGTTCATATGCATTTTTTTTTTATTTTTTTCCCCTCTTATTTATTTATTTATTTATTTTATTTGATCGTTTTTTATATGCCGATACCTATACAGATACATTATACGTAATAGTGTCTATATGATTCTGTTAATTCTTTTAACTTCTACTTCTTTATTCAATTTCCTCATTGATATTTCCTCATTGATATTTCCTCATTGATATTTCTCGTTCACCATCCACATGCATCACACATACGTACTTATTGTTACTAAATCTTTCCAACTTTTGATGACACTATTTTTAACATTTTGCGTCGCGAAAAAAAAAGTTTCTTTACATTGTTTTATAGGTTCTACAAGCGCATATATATATATATATATGTATACATTCCATTCATACATTGTACAATTTTGCATCTTTCGGTTGACTTCTTTTTTTTTTATTTTTTATCATGTTTATATATATATATTTATATTTATTTTATTACGTATTTTATTTATATATTACGACAATACATATATTCAGTAAAACTTTTTGTTCATGAAAGTAAAGGGTTTAAATAATTTGGTTATTTGGTTATAATTTTTTTATAAAGAGAAATCATAATAACAGTTGAACTGTTATTTTTTTTATAGACTACATTTTGACAAAATATCGGTCATGTATATTTGTCAAAGATTAAAGAAAACAAAAAAAATAAATAAATAAAATAAAAAATACCAAAAAAAAAACAGTAAAAAAAATGAATTAAAAAATGATAAAAAAATAATATAATTATTTTTCTTACAATTATTATCTCCTAGAAGTTCTTAGAGCTTCTCAGAAGCTCTTAGAAATTCTTAAAGAAGAGGGAATGTGTTTTTTTTTGTAATGGTAACGCCTAAATTCGGATTTCGGAAGACAAGGTCTAAATATTAAAAAATCACGCCAAAAAAAAAAAAAAACAATGTATTACCGTTACGCATATACATGTACTCATATACGCATATATATTGCATAACCATGTATTACATCAATATAGCAATACAGGATTTCAAGGTTTTTTTTTTATAAAGAATTCAAATTAGCCAAAAATGCAGGCGTAATCTGATCATGAAACATGTGATATAAATTGTGGGGAAAGATGGCGTCTTAAGGTACGTATATTCTTTTTATAAATGCGTATGCATGCGAAAAAAGAATGTGTTAATTGTTATAAAATTTTTTTTTGAAAGCTGGTACGTACGTACGTACGTACATATCAGATATCAGTATGTATATGTTATTAGTTATGATAAAAAAAAAAAAAATTTTATTCAAGGTTCTTTCTATAAGAACACATGATAAATCACAACTTTACTTAATCGCAATCATCACGTTTAATAATGTGGAGAGTTTATCTTTCTACCCTTGTTACCTAGATCGACTACGTATAAACTAGCATGTAACTAACAGAACTAGATAAAAAGTTGATCTAAATATTACCGATACTTAGGTAACGGTAAACAAAAATATTTTAAGGTGTTTTGAAAGGTGTACAGAAAACAAGATATTTTTACCTATTACCATATATCGACATATAGTAACTGTTGTACAAATATAATGTAATCTCAAATCTGAACAAAGAAGCAAAACATTTGATACGTCATACACAGTGTCATGTGTGGTAATAAGTGATCAAACATAACAATGACATTTCACATACTAACGATAAGGTTTGTATTGAATTGGACCATACATGGAAAGTGTGATGAACAAAGACATTTTTTTTAACAAAGACAACGAAAAAAATACATATATATTTATTTGTCCGTATTACAAAAAAAGAAATGTGTATGATTAGCATATCATTTTTTTTTAAAAAGTCTTTGTAAACGTTGAAATTATAATTCAAATTGAAATTGGTACGTATCGGAAAATCTTTAATACCTCTAGGTCTTTTTTTTTTTGGCGTCACGTATGTTGATGCATAATGTATCTGGTATATCATATTTCTAATCACTGATAATAAAAAAAAATTATTTTTTTAAATTTAAAAAATTGCATTTACATAACAAGATTTTAACTTTATTAGTAATCTTTTATTATAATCTCTATAAACTTTATAAAGAATAAAACGTGCGTAGAAATAATGCTTAAATGAAATAATAATGACTAAATAATGTTTAATAATTGTGACCAAAACAATGATCAATGAAAATAAATTAACTGCTGAATATAAAGTTTATTTATTATTTTTATATTCATTTGAACATACGACGTACTGAATACTATATTGAATACTTACTGTATTGAATACTGTATTGAATACATATGGGCTATGTGCTGAGAAAAGGGACCAAATTGACAAAAAAATTTTTTTGAAAATAATAAATGTTCTGAATCAGATGATCAAATC